CTCGAAGGCAGACGACAACTTCTTCCAGGTAGCTTTCCATATATATGAACCCCACGGAAAAATGTTCCATACATTTAGGTCCTCTACCAATAATATTAGGTCCTCGGAGATTGGTTGTCTGCCCTCTTTGCCTAAAAAGTCGGCTTGCAAAAGTAGTAAATGGCATACTCAGACAACATCAAGGTCATCCATCCGAGTAAAACCATCTTTATCAAATAATCTCTTCAAGTCGTCGACATGTATACTCGGCTTCGACTTTGCCAGCTCAGGAAAAACCCGATATAACCATAATGGGCGGGCGATATGACTAGTGTACCGACCTACATCATCGTGTCTGAAGCGTAGACCGGTGATTAAGCAAAACTCCTCCCGCCCAAAACAAGTATACGTCGGTGCCGGAGGAAAATGAAACCATATCTCTTCATCACCACATTGTACCCCCTCGGGTAGATCGTTAGTCATGGTCTGAAGAAACAAATGTGTCAACTTAGTATCTCCACCCGGATGTTGTACTTTCAGCCATGGCCCGAAGCAAGTATCCTCAAACAATTTTCTTTGTAGAGGTGTAAGCGTCGACGCAATTTTAGTGGCTAGGTTCAATTTACTCCTTAAGGTCAATGCAACTGAAAAACATTTCTACAAAAACAATAAACATACCAAGTTAGATATACCAAAAACTACAAATTATACACTACAAACAGACATGATATTAAACAGTGAAAACAAAGCCAAATATGTTTCAAACTAGCACGGTATTCACCCAAGTCATTATTCCATCATAGTTCACAAAATGCATCAGATAACATTCCAGAAGTAAGCACTTATATAAACATTTAAAATGACAACATATAGGTTTAGTGCAGGTTCAAGGACAACATAAAGAGTAGTAGTTTATTCTTGAAACTTATATTAGCAACACTGTGAAGTTAGTATTTCTCTTTGTTTTTTGGTTGAAGTAAGACAATTCATTCAAGTTTCAATTTGGCGAATAAAAGAAGTTTCTGAAACTTAAATTCGCAACGCGAAACTAAAATCGCGTTGCTATTTTCATTTTCGCGTTACGATTTTTGCTTTGCGAATTTGGTGTTGCGATTTAGGGTTTCTTCAACAAAAAAACAAAACAAACACAAATACTAACTTCACAGGGTTAAAGACTAAACGGTTTAGCAGTATTGGCAGCAACCGAATGAATTTAGCAATCTCAGTGAAGTGGTTAATCTAATAATAATACAAAAATTTCAAAATAAAAATAAGAGATTAAAAAAACTAACCCTCGGTGGTTGATTTTCCATTTCTGACCGTGAATGGTTGTGAGGGTTGATCTGAGAGATGGAGATAGACGGATTTCGTTGGAAATGGGGACAATTTTGTCGGAGATGGGGACGGATGTCGCCGTAGAGAGTGAGAGATGGAGATGGGACTGAGTTGTGCTTTAGGGTTTTAGGTTAGAGATGATTTTGCGATAATACTGTTTACATTTGTGTTGCGAAATTAATATTGTGTTTCACGTAAAAACATTTGACTATCGCGTTGCGAATTTGACTTTCACGTTGCGAATTTAACTATCGCGTCGCGAATTTGACTATCGCGTCGCGAATTTGGAATATCGCGTCGCGAATTTGGAATATCGCGTCGCGAATTTGGAATATCGCAATGCGATTTACATATTCGCGTTGCGAAATTGGAAACTGGGTTGCGAAATTGAAATTCGCGTTGTGAATTTGTTGGTCATTTTGACAAATCCAAAAAAAGTTGGTTAAATTCGTATATTATAAGGCATTTTTGGTCACTGATGTTATTTTCTCTTTTTTAAATCTACATGCTGATAAAAATATTATATTTATTCTTATATATAATAATATTACTAAACCAAATAAAACTTAATTGTCTATACATATAAATTATTGTATGTTAATAAAGTATTGTTATTTAAATTTAATATAAAAAATAATCTTATTATTTTCTAATAACAATTCAAGTTAGAAGATAAGCTCAAACTTGACGCGTAGTCACTCCTGCACATAAAACAAAATAATTCAAACCGCAATATGGATAAGTATATCCCAAACACCCAAGCCCACCATATTTTAACAAACAAATATTGCAGAGATTTTGGTTTGGTAGTTGGCTAACTTAATAAATACACCTATAAACTTTGGTTTATTGATACTTAAAACCAATAAAGATGAACACTTTTAATTATCATCATAAATAATACAAATCCAAATAATAATAATAAAATATAATCATTTTAATTGAGTTAACTACATCACATGTCCTCAAATTATGATACTCATTGTAAATTAGTCCCTAAACTTTTAAACATTTCAATACCATCCCCAAACTATGATCTTCATTCTAAATTAGTCCCCAAACTTTTTGAAAATTTCAATTCCATCCCAAACTATACGTACATACTATCATAGCCCTTGTTAATAAAATCATTGGGCCAAGTTATATTATTATATGTTTAAAAAAAATAAAATTTAGATTAAACTATGGTTGAAACTATTTACATATTTGGATGAATTTGAAGATAAAATTGGAAGATTCAAAAGTTTGGAGAACAATTTAAAATGAGGGTCATGTTGGGGATAAAATTGGAATATTCAAAATTTTAAGTACTAATTTTAAATAAGACTCATAGTTTGAGGATGAAATTTGAATATTCAAAAGTTTAAGAACCAATTTAAAATGAGGGTCATAGTTTGAGAATGCAATTAACTTTTTCAAATATAATCAAATTAATAAAACTAGCACAAAAATTAATTATTATATAAAAGATTAAAATAAAAATTAGATTATATACATATAAATCCAGCATATAATAAAACTTAAATCAAATTAAAAATTTAGATAAATAAGACATACATGATGAAAATCAAATCTAAGACTTGAGCATGAAATCAAAGTTTTTTGAATACCAATAGTTGGATCAATCAAACCATTGATTCTCTATTTGATTAATTTAGTATTTTTTTAAAAAAGAAAATTTTACAAAAAAAATTCAAAAAGTAGAAAATCGGTCCAATTGGTCTAACAAATTTTTTTCTTTTCATAGGTATCAAATTCAAGGTCTATGAGAGATATGGACTGAAAAATTTTAATCACTATTATTAATTTCCCCCTTTTCTTAAGAGCAATGCAACTGATTTTTCTGATTTACGGTTCAACCGCAGTGTTTCCGATTTCCAGTCTATCTGTTTTCGAACAACCGTACCTGATATATTAAGATTCTCAAGATCTTAATATAAGGATTAAGCGAAAGAATATATTTTAGGGATAAAGTACACAAATGGTCCCTTGATTATAGGGTGTTACTTTGTTGAGTTTTCTAACTATTAAAAGTTATAAAATGGTCTTCTAATTATTAAACAATATTTTGTTGACTATTAAAAGTTGTAAAATGGTCACTCGACTATTCATATATTCTAAAGTTATCATTTTCCGTTAAGAAATTAACATCCGCTTGAGCTGGATATTAACATGTTGATTGAGATATGATCAAATCATATTTTAATGATGCCTATTGGTACCGTCGTTGCTTTCAAGCACCGAGTCGCCAACATAATGTATCAAGTAGGGTTGTAAACGAGACGAGTCGAGCTCGAGTATTGCTGAGCTCGACTCGAACTCGAAAAGTTTAAAATTAGGCTCGTCTCAACTCAAAAACTCGCGAGCTAAAAATTATCAAGCTCAGCTCGAAATATAATATTAAAACTCGACTCAAAATCGAAAAGGCTCGAACTCAAAAAATTTCAAGAGCTCAATTGAAGCTCTAGACTCGAGCTCGATTCAAGCTCGAACTCAAACTCAAACTCAAACTCAAATTTGAACCTACAAAAATCTTATATTACATTTAAAAATATTTTTTTTAAATTTATAATTATCAATAATGTATTTTTGATGTATTTTTAATAATGTAATTTTAAAAATCTAAAATTATAATATAACATTTTTTCGAGTAGCTCGCGAGCTTTTCGAGTCGAGTGTTAAGTAGCTCATTAAGAATTCGAGTCGAGTTCATTCGATTCGAGTGTTGATCGAGCTTTGACTGAGTCTATATCGAGTAACTCATGATCTATCTCGTCTCATTTACAACCCTAGTTTCAAACATTAGCTTGATGACATAATGTAAATTGAGTTCAATCCAAAAAATACAACTAAAACAATTATGAGATTAGATTTTTTTTCATATCTCAGTCAACATGTTAACATCCATCTCAAACAACCACCAAATTTTTAACGAAAAATGACGAGTTTAAAACATATAAATAGTGGGATGACCATTTTGTAACTATTAGTAGTCGAAGGACTCAACAAATCAACATCCTATAGTCAATAAACCATTTTGTTATTTTTAATAGTTAAGAGACTCAACAAAACAATACACCATAGATGAGGGACCATTTGTGTACTTTACCCATATTTTTAAGTGAAAACCTAAGAAAATGGAACATTGTTAAAGAAATTTTGTAAACGTTTATATATTTGAAGATAACAAAATTATCTAAGCTTGGAAAACTCAATGGGTAATAATCACCTTTTTTGTTTACTCAATATGTCGTACACGTTCTGTATTTCGGCTTGATTCTCTTGATTTAATAACACATTGTTTATAATCCCTTTTTAATTTGCATATAAGAATATCTTAAAATGTAAGCGAACAAACTATTGATCTACCAGCAGATGATTAATCCAGTGTTTCAAGTTTATTGGCAATCTATGAGCAAATTCATTATGCAGAATTTGTATACTAGTTTTGATACAGAAAAAGAAACTCTCAAAATCTCATTTGATCATTGAAGGCAAAGGAATAAATCTCTTAGCCAATTACTGTTGTTTGCTTGGCTACAGTACTTTTGAGCAATAGTATCAGGCTGAATTTTTATGGGACTGACCTGAATTTTTTCTAGTTCTTCTTGTTCCTCTAGTATTTTCCAGCAGAGATAATGGTGGATCAATAGTATCAGGCTGAATGACTGTTTTTTTCCTTTTCTTTCCAGGGCCAAGTTTCGCAGCAATTGGTTTGATCTGTAAGAGTTTGAACGTTCCATTAGCAACCCAGAAGAGAATTTTGTTCTGTTTATGTTTACTTGAATGCTTAGGGAATGGGACACTCAAATGATCTTTAATGTACCTAATAGCTAAATGTGAACATGAAACAGGCTCAATGCATAAAAAAGGGCTGACCAGGAAAGCATACCATTGTGTTCCCAATCTCACGTAATGGCTGCTTTCTAGGTTCACAATCTTCATTCATCTCTGGAAGGTTTTCAACAGTTTTATCTTGAATCACGATAGCCTCGTCAACTGTGCCCTTCTGTTCTTCAATAGAGTCCGGTGTAATGTCTTTCGGCATCTCTGGTTGCGGCATGTCATCCAATTCGAGAGGAACTTCTCTTTATTTGTGCACTTGCCCGATGCACAGCCACAAGACACCCCACAGCTGCTCCCTGCTGCCCGGCAACCGCATTTGAGGGTCTTACACAAAGACTTTTTAGAACAGGAGCAGCACACTCCTGAAGTTTTCTTTATCATGGAAGCAAGTCCTTCAGACTGTTCCAATTCAGATGCGTCCGTGCCTGATGTATGAATATTGCTTCCAATGGAAATAGAGGTCTGAACCAAGTCAGCCTGATTAACAAACGTTAAATCCGAACAGTTAGATATTACAAAGTTAGAGAATCTTGTTTCATTTTCAATCTTGATCTACAGAGGTTTAAGATGTCATTTGCTTTTTTCCTACTTCCCCTTGCAAGTTCAACTGAAATCTGAATCCATGTGAGTATTTTCTATTCGTAATTAAAAGCGGTATGCTAAAGGAAACTGCTCTAACCTGTGACCTATCTGCTGGAACAAGTTGTGTCTTCGACAAATTCATCTTGCTAATCATACAACTTAGTTTAGCAACTTCTTCTCTTATATCTATCAACTCTAAATCATTTATGGCAGCTTCATTATCCCCTGTCCTGTAGCTTGAAAGAGCAGGAAACAACAGATTTAATACTTGTAGCAGTAGTAATGAAAGCACAAAGCAACCTTTGCGGTGACTGAGAAAAAGAGCTCGATCCCACCTGGAATTTTCTTCCCTTAGCATCTCCAGTTCTAGCTTGAGTTTCTTTATCTCATCAACCATCCTAGCAAATAATGTGCCACTTAAATCAATTTTAGGTATAAGCAATTCATGCCAGCAATAAAAATTTGGAGCATCAACCCGCACTCTCAAATCCCTTAAAGAAACTAGACCTCAAGAAAGTACAGTATAATGTATCAAAAACAGCCAAAACAAAAAGGGAATAAAAAATATATATAGTAAGGTAAAATATGAGATGATTCAAACCAAGGACTATAGGGGAGTTATTGTTAAAACAATTTCCGGAACTTACTTTTCAATTCGATGTTCGTATTTTGAAGTTACTTCGTCAAGCTTCATTTTGACTTCAAAATCATTCTCCATACCCTGCACCAGTGCCATTTCAGGAACACTACCATTACAATCATCAAACAACTGCTCCTGCCCTCCAGGCTCCATAGACACAAGATAAAAACGAAGAAAGAAAAAAATAAAGAGTAAAAAGAAAAAGCGAAAACACCAAAAGCAACTTTCACACACGGTATAAAATTGTAGAAAACTGTCCCTACCATTCAATTAAAAAAATAGAAGTATGCACGACATCAGGATGATCCATTTAACCCCTCATGGTACATGTACAAATCTCTTTTCAATTCCAATTGCAATTGGTACACGACAAGTAATATTAAAAAGAAAGCATTTCTTTGAAGATTAATCATGCATACCTGAGTTCCAGTTTTGATGCCAATTCTAGCACCTACTTAAGGTTTAAGAGAAAGAAAAGTCAATAAATCATAATCATTTTAATTGAAAAAATGAGGACTTCTTATTTTCTAACCAGCTATTTTGTGAGACAAAGTCTTCCTGGATTCAGTTAGCTGTTTTAGACGTTTTACAGCCGCAAAAGCTTCTTCTGTTTTCCGCTGCAACACCTGAGATAGGGGCAAAAATGAAAGAAAAAGAATAGCTTCAAAATATATTTATCAAATGGAAATCAACATAAAAATAAAACACAGTAAATGAAGAAGAAGAATGATATACATGCTTTTGCCTCTGAAAGCGAGTTGAGAGAACATGCTTCTCGTACATGTTCCTTCTTTGCTCTTTCTTAAGCTGTTAAAAGGAAAATGGATAATTAACATATGATGAGGCCTTAGCAACTCGAAATTGCTATCATAATGTGTCCTCTTGAAATGAACAGCCTATATTTTAACTGATGATTTGAAAGGATAACTATGAGCAACAATAAACAATTTCGATAGTGTCATATGCTTAATATTCAGCTTTCATACAGACAATGTAATTATCAGCATAGGCAAGTTAAGAGCTTTGCTTCCTTTTTATTGTATGTCTCATGTAGAAAATGTATGTATGGTTGATCATTTAACCATCTCGCACTGTAAGAGTGAAACCAAAATCTATTTAGCATTCAGAATACAACAAAAAATCTCATAGAATAATAAAATGTAACACCTAAACATATAATTTCCTAGAACTTATAATGATGACTAGATCATGGGCATGCCTTCAATGCGATAATGTACGTACCTGAAGAATTTCCTTCTCCTGTGAAGCCTTACACAACCTGAACTGCATCGAGTCAAGCTTCATCTTGCACTGAAGCTGAACCTAAAATAAAAGAAAACTTCCACCAATAATAAAAGCAACAAAATGAATATCATAGTTGTACATAGATGTTCATCTAGAGAAAATACTCACCTTTTGCACCTTTAATCTTTGAATCTCATCCTGAAACTGAACTGACAGTTCATCTGATTTAGGCTTTTTGGCTGAGAGTTGAGACTGTATGCCTAGTTTTTTCAACTCAACAACCTGAGAATGCTTAATATAGTTTACAATTGAACCTTAATAGAATCTACTATTTAACAATAATGTGAATCAAATACCTTTGGAGAGGTCCCTGAATTTCGAGGATACCATTGATCCAGTTTTTGAACACCAACACAGGAGTTTGGTGTAACATCAATCAGTTTGCTTCTTAGCTCCTCAATCACCCTCTGCCATTCCAGAAACACACTTATTGAAAGCAGAAGACATAAAACTGAATTCTATATTTGATGCAGTCCGTGATATTTTTATTTTCTTCCTCAATCACTATAAATCAATAATCTAGATGATACAAGCACAATTCAATCACTCCTTTGCTGCATTCAATAGAATCTCAGTCATTCAGATTCTTACAAATTCCTGAACTCAATGCCCTAAATTATTACACCACATTTTTTTCAGCAACCAAACAGATTCCACTAGATTAATAAAATATTAAATTTAAAGAGGACAACATATTTGTTTATCAACTGCAATAGGATCTATTACACTCCTGCATTTTATCAGAAACCAAATATACTCACTAAAAAATCCAGATTTACCTTACAAAAACGAACTAGAACAACAAAACGAAAATCAAATCGTGGAATCACCTGAAGAGCTTCGTTTTCTAGCTCCAGATCTCGGATCCTTGTATCCGGGTTTTCCTTATCAACTGGTAAGATCAAAGGCGAAGTAGAAGAATCGGCGGAAGCGCTCTTTTGCTTTGAACGACGATTTGGCTTCTTCATTTTTCCTTTTTATGCGAAGTGAATTGAAAGCCGAATCAATGTTGTATCAGAAGAAAAATGAAGACAAATATTCTAGTTAATAATCGATCGATCAATTAATTTCCAAAGAAAAAAAAAGATTAAAATCCCCAATATTATACCTGAGGTTTTCTTGGCTCTCTCTCAACCCAGCTTCAAGCTTAGCGTCTGGCCGTTGGAGAAAGGAGCGCTATTCTTTCATAATCAAAATTTGAATTTCGTCTTCGGCGAATAAAATATCGCCTCATGATGTATTTATCTTATTCTTATGCCACCACAACTGTTTTCTAATTGGCAGATTTTCTTTTTGTCCAAGGGTAAATACATTGAATTTTAATTTTAGTTTGCATACTGTTAAAAAGTTTCCCTAATATTTGATAATAGTGTTATTTTAATCTTACTTTTTTTTCTTTTTGAATACATTCGACATTACTCAAAATTTTATTTTGTGTTAAAAGATCTTTCATTAGATGAAAATCGTTAGTCGATTGATATTAATGTTTGGAGTTGACTCAACCAACAGAGGTGGAAAGAAATACTGATGTGACATGTCTATATGAGAGCATGTGATGCTAGGAATTGTCAAAATTCTCGAATTTAATGGGTCACGAACCTATTTTACTCTATAGGGTTAATTTAAAAAATATTTAGGGTTCGAGGTGAGGTGGTTTATATAGTATATAACTTCATGACAGGATGAGGTCGGATTTAAGGTGAAAAATTACCGAGCCAACCCGATATAAATTATTAATTTATCCTTTTATATATATAATATATTTAAGAATTTAATTTTTATATTATTAAAATATGCTCTTTAATTATAAAAATATAAAAATTATTATAAAATATATTATTTTAACATTTTAAAATATAATAAATGATTATAAATATATTATTTTAATTATTTTTAAAATATTAATATATTCGGGTCGGTCGAGGTCAGGGTTTTAATCTAAAAATCGGAACAAATTCGGGGCAGGAGAAAAGCTAGAATCCATCGGACGAGCGGGGTTAGGTATATGCAATATATTTTCAGGTCAGGATCGGGGTCGAGTAGCCAAAAAATGGCATGCCCTGCCGGTGTCCATCCCTAGGTGATGATGTGGTAGTCTGTCAATTCAGATTTTTCAAAAAAAAAAATACAAATTATTATAAATAATTTGTATATTAAATTATTTATAATCAACCAAAAAGTGACAATTGTCTATCTGATTGGTACTAGTGTAAACAAAGTATTAAAATTTTGTTACCTAGGTTGCACATGTTTGAAATGAAATGACTCTAACCACCAGATTAAGCTATTTGTTTTATTTATGCTTTGAAACAAAACATTATTTAACTTATAATTATTTTTGAATTTAATGGAAAAGTTAACACATTTCAGTATATCATGAGTAAAATTTTAAACGGGATACTCCAATTGTTTCCCAAACCCTAAATTATCAAAGTTTTTCCCCTCTTAATTCTATCTCCATCAATTTTGAATCAAGCTAGAGCTTCCAATTGGTTATACATATCTCATCTTTTTCATTGACATTCGCATCGAAAACAAGAAATAACTCATTGAAACCGAATTTATCAATGGTTGGATTCGATCCTCTTCTTGTTCGATTTCTAACACTTCCATGTCTCTAACATCTTCTTCATCACCCGTTTTTTCTACATTTTTGTTTTCATTGGAATCTAATCCCATATGACTCTACCTATGCCTTCTACAATACTTGGAGATGATCGTGTAGTAACTTACCAAGATGAATATGCTTGCCAAGATCCTGATTAAGGCTATAATTAGAGGTGAGAAATCGGAGGAGGAATTGTCTTTGATGGGGAAAGGAGGAGGTAGCGAATAAAATAAAATAATACCATTATGGGCAATATATGCTACAGATACCTTTAGAACAATCTTTAAAAGTTACATAGAACGTCTAAGAATTCAAGGTTCTTGATAAAGAACTCGTGTTTCAATATTGCTTGGATTGCAAATAAAGAAAATGAGTCAAAGGAAAGAAAATAGTGAAGAGAGCTTTGAGAAGAAGGCAAATAAAGTGGAGGAAATGGGAAGTTGGAGTGTTCATCTCATTATCTTATACTTTATTCTCTCATATCACAAACATTATTTAACTTATAATTAGTTTTTAATTTAATGAATGTGATATGAGAGAATAAAGTAGAATATCTTCTTCACCGGCTATTTTCCTTACTTCTCTATTTTCATTGAAAGATAAGTTCGTATGACTTTACCTATATCTTCTACAATACTTGGAGATGATCGTGTAGTAACTTATCAAGATGAATGTGCTTACCATGATCTCGATTAAGGCTATAATTAGAGGTGAGAAATCATATAAGAAATCATTTTCGATGGGGAAATGAGGAGGCGGTGGAAAAATAAAATAACACCATCGCGTACAATACATGCTACATATACCTTTAGAACAATCTTTGAAAGCTTCATAGGACATCCAAGGATATAGGATGCTTGATGAAGAACTCATGTTTCAATACTGTTTGGATTGAAAGAAAAAAAAATGAGTCAAACAAAAAGAAAATTGTGAATGAGGCTTAGAGTGGAAGGAAAGGAAAATAGAGGAAATGGAGAGTTAGGGCGTCTATCTCATTATCTTCTGTTTTATTCTCTCATAACACATTCATTAAATTCAAAAATAATTATAAGTTAAATAATGTTTGTTTCAAGGAACTAACCAGAATCCAAGTGAGCACGAAAGTTTGCGAAAGTCTTGAGATTGTGTATGATTGAGTCAGTGACACCGGCTCCGGAGGTGGCTACTGTTAATCTGTCAGCAACTCTAGAGTCCCAGGATCCCCAGTTCCTTTGGAGAACCAACAACAAGTGAAGAAAGCTAGGAACGAGACTGACCACTGTGAAGACACAACTCATTTGACTACTAAGGATGTAGTCTTGGAATACGATCAGGATATATCAATGGATGAGGTAGCGGTAGAGGTGGTTGGTAGTATATTTAATGATGAAGCATCTCCTACTAGTGATGGAACCCCTGTGCCATTGATTGTGTCCCCTGCGAAGTCGTATGTGGCTACTCTTGTTGGTGTGACACGTGAACGAACTGAGAAATTTGATTTTGGAGATGATGATGTTGTCCTGAAGGAAAGAGACGTGATTGTTGATAGGAGTGGCCCTTACCCAATTCTTCAATTCTCAAAACGTGTCCATGATTCGATAGATGATAATATGAGGAAAATTGTGATTGTTCGACTCTTAGGAAGACCATTGGATATAAAGTTTTTTGGAATCAAATCAATGCTCTTTGGCAGTCTCAAGGCAAATTCCAATTGGTTGATCTTGATAATGGATATTACCTGGTCAGACTGGAACTTGATAGTGATTATGTGAAGATCCTCACAGAGAGTCCTTAGGTTGTTTATGGAAGTTATTTGACGGTTCAATCTTGGAGTTGAAATTTTAGTACCTCAGATAACTACTCTTCGCATGTAATGTTTTGAATTAGACTCCCAAGACTCCCGTACCGCTATTACACAAAATCTTTATTTCGTTTGATTATTGGGGAGATTGGAAGGGTGATCAAGGTAGATTACAACACTAATGCTGGTGGAAGAGGTAAGTTTGCTAGGTTAACGGTGGCGGTGAATCTAAATAAACCATTATTATCGTGAATTGGTATTGACGGTTTTGTGCAACATTTGGAGTATGAGAGATTGTAGAACATCTACTATAAATGTGGGGTTTATGGGCACACTCAGGATTCGTGCGATACTCGTTCGAATGGTTCTAAGGAATTTCATGTGGATCAACCTAACCTTTCTCCTACAACTGGTGGCTCATCTGATAAAGAAGCTGAGCTTTATGGATCATGGATGATTACGGCTCCCCGAAAAAGAAGAGCAAAGAAGGTAGCAGGTTCTGACGTGGTGCCAACCGGTGGTAAGACTACGCATGCTACAAAAATGTTTGATGCTTTAGCTTCTGCTGATGAGGACGTTGATGCGGAGAATGTGATCCCGAACATTACAAGTGAAGCTAGCTTACCACCTTCTAAGGCGTCAGGGAATAAGTCTAAAGGAAAAATTGTTGTCAATGACGTGGTGGTTAGTACTGAGCATGATACAAGTGGAGGAATAGGTACCTCGAGAATACCTATGCAAGTTTCGCACCATGTTGACTTGCCAAAGTCAAAGAAGGTTTACTGGCCATATTACTTTAAAGGAGAATATGCTTCAAGTTGAGCAAATGATAAATGGCAAAGAGCCCCACGTTACCGTAAATGTGCCAAATTTACAAGGAGAGAGCCATGTAGCTGTCACAATTGATGAAAGTAGACAAGGAAGCAGAGATGGAAGTAGATTTCGTGGGGATTCCAGCAAAAACAATGTATCAAGAGGTACTAAGGAGGCCAATGCTAAAGGGTTGCAAGTCAAAAAATCTTTTAGCCATAAAACCCCAGGAAAACCTTTTCTCACGGAATAGGTACAATCAGCTACTAACATGATTAATGGTATCATTTTAAGAAATTGGGATTTTAATCATCCTGGTGGAGCCAAAGAGAATGTGGATGCAAATCTGAATAAGATGGTGGAAGATAGTGTTGGCAATCATTCGTTGATGCTGAGGTTAGCCAATCTTAATCCCTCTTTTGGTTTTCCATGTTAAGTTTTATGTTTTGGAATAGTCAAGGCGCGACAAGCCCTTCTTTTTGGCGTCATTTCAAGAAGTTTATGGTTGAGAATCGTCCCAAAATTGTGTCTTTAATGGAAACTAGAGTTAGTGGTTGTAAGGATGAAAATGTGGTTAGACAGTTAGGTTTTCCTAATTCCTTTCGGGTTGAAGCTGTCGAAACGATTTTTCCCTCAAAAGGTGAAAAAATGTGAGATTTTAAAAACCACATTAATTCTTAATTATCTCTTTTTAATTTAAAAACAAATGCGATTTAAAAGACCTCTCGTTTCGAAAATTTTTGGATTTCTTTTACGATCGAAAAATACGGTTCGAAGAGTCGCCACCAATCTTTGATTAGGGTGTGATTGGGCACCCAAAAACGCTTTATCATTTTAAATAAAAATTAATTTTAATTAAAACAACAAATTGAGGTATGCGTTACCAAAATCCGAGTTCGGGAGTCGGTTACGTGTGGGGAAGGATTAGCGCCCCCACAACGCCCTAAATCGGTACCTAGTCGATTAATTAACGTCTTTGCAATGAACTTTACAAATTCGAACTTAAT